CTGACGTGAGGCTGACTGGCCTGTAGTTCCCCGATCCTCCCTCTTCCCTTTCTTAAAAACAGACACTACATTAGCCTTTTTCCAGTCATCCGGGACCTCCCCCCATCACCATGAGTTTTCAAAGATAATGGCCAATGGCTCTGCAATCACATCCGCCAACTCCTTTAGCACCGTTGGATGCAGCGCATTCGGCCCCATGGACTTGTGCTCGTCCAGCTTTTCTAAATAGTCCCGAACCACTTCTTTCTCCACAGAGGGCCTCCTCCCCATGCTGTGCTGCCCAGTGCAGTAGTCTGGGAGCTGACCTTGTTCGTGAAAACAGAGGCAAAAAACCCATTGAATACATTAGCTTTTTCCACATCCTCTGTCACTAGGTTGCCTCCCTCTTTCAGTAAGGGGCCCACACTTTCCTTGACTTTCTTCTTGTTGCTAACAGACCTGAAGAAACTCTAGTGTGGCACAGTTTTCTGGCATAAAGGTGCTTATTACACTGGAATAGTTTATGAGAATTAGCACCTGTATACTGATATAGCTGCATTCACCCTTTGCAGTTGTACAGCTGTAATTACATCAGTATAGTTAAAGTGGTACACTTTTTTATGTGTAGATAAGCCCTTAAACACCTCCTTTCCTCAGAAAGTCCTCCAGCAAAATCAAGAGAAATCTGACTTGACATTCCTGATGTTAAAGTTAAAAAACAAGCTGACCCCTTACCTCTGTTCCATATCTGGAAAGAAGCAGAATGATGTTCTCATATCACATGATGAACTACTTTTCAGACCATTAGTAACTAGGGAGGATGTTAAACAATATCTGCTAGGAATAAACATTTTTAAATCAACTGGTATAGATTACTTGCACCCAAAAGTCCTAAAAGAGTTGTCTGAGGATACCTCTGTCCCACTAATGATAATTTTCAATAAATCTTGAAATATTGGGGAAATTCCAGAAGATTGCAGATATATCATGCCAATATTCAAAAATGCAAGTGGGATGACCCACGTAATTATAAGAGAGTTAGCCTGACAACAATCTCAGGCAAAATAATGGGAAAACTGATACAGGATTCAATCTATAAAAAATGGGAATATAATTAATGCCAATCAGCATAGTTCGGTAGAAAATAACTCTTGCCAAACAACTCTGACTTCATTTTTGAAAAAATTGCAAATTGGTTGATAAGGTAACTGGATAGATGTAATATACTTAGACCTTTGTAAGGTGTTTGAGTTAGTACCTCACGATAGTCTGAGTAAAAAAACCTGCAGTATACAATATCAATGAAACCCACACTGATAAATAATTACGAGGACTGGGCAGTCATACAGAGCAATCTGAATCATTTGATAAGCTGGGACCATTCATACAAAATGTATTCTACAGCAGTCATACGTAAGGTTATACAGGAACTTCTCACTTAACGTTGTAGTTATGTTCCTGAAAAATGCGACTTTAAGCGAAACAATGTTAAGTGAATCCAATTTCCCCATATGAATTAATGTAAATGAGGGGGTTAGGTTCCAGGGAAATTTTTTTCACCAGACAACAGACTATATATATATATATATATATACACACACACACA